CACAAAGCGATATTTAACTGAAAACACTAGGGAAATGTTTACTCAGAATTTCTCTTCCACACTTGCCCCTGCCAACATCTCAGTAAATGAGCTAGTAGATCATTTTAATTCAAAAATTAAAAATGTTATAGATGCCATTGCTCCAACTAGGTTAAAGGAAGTGTCTGGCAAGAAAATATCTCCATGGAGAAAGGCCATGAGCGTGAAAACAGAAAAAAGAGAATGTCGAAAAGCTGAACGCAGGTGGCGAAAAACAAATCTCCAGGTTCACTTTGAAATCTATAAAGAGAGACTTGGCCTTTATAATTTGGAATTGAAAAACGCACGACAATCGTTCTTCTCTGACATCATTACCAAAAACAAAAACAACGCACGTGCCTTGTTTGCTACCGTCGACAGACTAACTAACCCCCCAGTGTCAGTAGCCTCTGAATTTCTATCCACCAGGGCGTGCAATGATTTTGCCTTTTTCACTGACAACATTCAGAACATCAGACAAGCAGTCAGTGCCTCTGCATCAGGAACAGCAAATGTGTTGTCTCTGTGTCCACTTAACATCAATTCAGACACCATGACACAATTCCATCAGATTAATGATAAAAACCTAGAGGACATTATTCAACTTCTGAAATCCTCCTCCTGCTGCCTTGATATTATTCCAACAGGATTTTTCAAAGATGTTTTGCCTTGCATGGCCTCAGATCTACTTCATATAGTAAACACATCTCTTCACTCAGGTATTTGTCCACAGGCCCTGAAAACTGCAGTCATTAAACCGCTCTTAAAAAAGAATAATCTAGATGCTTCAGTAATGAACAATTACAGGCCCATATCAAACCTCCCATTTCTAGGTAAAATCATTGAAAAAGTTGTTTTTCAACAGTTGAGTAATTTCTTGCATTTAAATAACTGTTTGGATGTGTTCCAGTCAGGCTTTCGTCCAAACCACAGCACTGAGACTGCTCTTGTAAAGGTCTTTAATGACATCCACTTAAACACAGACAGTGGCAGAACTTCAGTGTTAGTATTATTAGATCTCAGTGCTGCGTTTGACTCTGTTGACCACAACATATTACTAGACCGACTGGAACACTGGGTGGGACTTTCGGAAACAGTTCTGAATTGGTTTGAATCCTACTTAAAGGACAGAAACAACTTTGTTTCTATAGGTAAATACACATCTGAGTTGACAAATATGACATGTGGGGTTCCTCAAGGCTCCATCTTGGGGCCTCTTCTCTTTAACATCTACATGCTACCACTGGCTCAGATAATGAAGAACAACAAAATAAGTTACCATAGCTATGCAGATGACACACAAATTTACGTAACAATTTCACCAGGAGACTATGCTCCAATTCAAACACTGAGTAAGTGCATTGAACAAATCAATGACTGGATGTGTCAGAACTTTCTCCAATTAAACAAAGATAAAACTGAGGTAATGGTTTTTGGAGCCAAGTCAGAACGTTTAAAAGTTAGCACTGAGCTTCAGTCTGCAATGTCCAAAACAACAGTTAGAGCCAGAAATCTAGGTGTAGTCATGGACTCTGACCTGAGTTACAACAGTCACATTAAAACTGTTACTAAATCAGCCTACTATCACCTAAAGAATATATCTAGGATTAAAAGACTAATGTCACAGCAGGGTTTGGAAACACTTGTCCATGCTTTTATCTTCAGTAGACTGGACTACTGCAATGGTGTCTTCACAGGTCTCACTAAAACATCTATTAGGAAGCTGCAGCTGATTCAGAACGCCGCTGCTCGAGTCCTCACTAACACTAAGAAAGTGGATCACTCCTGTTCTGAAGTCTTTACACTGGCTTCCTGTGTGTCAAAGAATAGATTTCTAAATACTGCTGCTGGTTTATAAAGCACTGAATGGTTTAGGCCCAAAATACATTTCTGACCTCCTGCTAAATGATGAAGCATCCAGATCTCTCAGGTCTTCAGGGACTGGTCAGCTTTCTGTCCCCAGAGTCAGAACTAAACATGGAGAAGCAGCGTTCAGTTATTATGCTCCAAATATCTGGAACTCCCAGAAACCTGCAGGTCCGCTGCAACTCTGACTACTTTCAAATCCAGGCTGAAGACTTTTCTTTTTGTCGCTGCTTTTAATTGAACTATTCATATCTTAGACTGCACTGTAACTTTTATCCATGTACTTTTTTTTCTTTTAATGTTTAATTGACTGCACTGTAACTTTTATCCATGTACTTTTTCTTTTAATGTTTATTTTATTAGCTTTTCTTTTTAATGACTGATTTTAAATGCCATTTTCTTAATCTCTTTCATTTTTTGTAAAGCACTTTGAATTGCCTTGTGTTGAAAAGTGCTATATAAATAAACTTGCCTTGCCTTGCCTTGCCTTTCAACATGTAAGTCAATGGGCGAAAGTCTTTCTGGCCCAGTGACGTCACGGACTGATACGGAGGTTGTAGTACCGCCGTTTGGCCACTAGGAATATTTCCCTCAGAGACCGGAGCTCTTGGGGGCAGAGGATGGAAGTAGTGGAGTACAAATACTGCGTTACTGTACTTGAGTACATGTTTCTGGTATCAGTACTTTACTCCACTACTTTACTTTACCCTTGACTTCTACATTTTGAACTCAAATACTTGTACTTTCTACTTCTTACATGTTGAACTCAAATACCTGTACTTTCTACTTCTCACATGTTACATTACATTACATTACATTACATTGCATTTAGCTGACGCTTTTATCCAAAGCGACTTACAATAAGTACATTCGACCAGGAAGACACAACCTTGAAGAAAACAGAATCATAAAGTACATCAGGTTTCATAGAGCCAAAACATTTCAAGTGCTACTCAACTGGCTTTAGGTAAGCCAGTCCTTTATTAGTATATAAGTGCTTTGTTAATAGTTCTAACGCTCGAAGTGGAGTCGAAAGAGATGAGTTTTCAGTCTGGAAGGTGTGTAAGCTATCTGCCGTCCTGATGTCAATGGGGGAAAGTCTTTCTGGCCCAGTGACGTCACGGACTGATACGGAGGTTGTAGTACCGCCGTTCGGCCACTAGGAATATTTCCCTCAGAGACCGGAGCTCTTGGGGGCAGAGGATGGAAGTAGTGGAGTACAAATACTTCGTTACTGTACTTGAGTACATGTTTCTGGTATCAGTACTTTACTCCACTACTTTACTTTACCCTTGACTTCTTACATTTTGAACACAAATACCTGTACTTTCTACTTCTTACATGTTGAACACAAATACCTGTACTTTCTACTTCTTACATGTTGAACTCAAATACCTGTACTTTCTACTTCTCACATGTTGAACCCAAATACCTGTACTTTCTACTTCTTACATGTTGAACACAAATACCTGTACTTTCTACTTCTTACATGTTGAACCCAAATACCTGTACTTTCTACTTCTTACATGTTGAACTCAAATACCTGTACTTTCTACTTCTTACATGTTGAACTCAAATACCTGTACTTTCTACTTCTTACATGTTGAACTCAAATACCTGTACTTTCTACTTCTTACATGTTGAACACAAATACCTGTACTTTCTACTTCTCACATGTTGAACACAAATACCTGTACTTTCTACTTCTTACATGTTGAACACAAATACCTGTACTTTCTACTTCTTACATGTTGAACACAAATACCTGTACTTTCTACTTCTCACATGTTGAACACAAATACCTGTACTTTCTACTTCTCACATATTGAACACAAATACCTGTACTTTCTACTTCTCACATGTTGAACACAAATACCTGTACTTTCTACTTCTTACATGTTGAACTCAAATACCTGTACTTTCTACTTCTTACATGTTGAACTCAAATACCTGTACTTTCTACTTCTTACATGTTGAACTCAAATACCTGTACTTTCTACCTCTTACATGTTGAACTCAAATACCTGTACTTTCTACTTCTTACATGTTGAACTCAAATAAATGTACTTTCTACTTCTTACATGTTGAACTCAAATAAATGTACTTTCTACTTCTTACATGTTGAACTCAAATACCTGTACTTTCTACTTCTTACATGTTGAACTCAAATACCTGTACTTTCTACTTCTTACATGTTGAACTCAAATACCTGTACTTTCTACTTCTTACATGTTGAACTCAAATACCTGTACTTTCTACTTCTTACATGTTGAACACAAATACCTGTACTTTCTACTTCTTACATGTTGAACTCAAATACCTGTACTTTCTACTTCTAACATGTTGAACTCAAATACCTGTACTTTCTACTTCTTACATGTTGAACTCAAATACCTGTACTTTCTACTTCTTACATGTTGAACTCAAATACCTGTACTTTCTACTTCTTACATGTTGAACACAAATACCTGTACTTTCTACTTCTCACATGTTGAACTCAAATACCTGTACTTTCTACTTCTTACATGTTGAACACAAATACCTGTACTTTCTACTTCTCACATGTTGAACTCAAATACCTGTACTTTCTACTTCTCACATGTTGAACCCAAATACCTGTACTTTCTACTTCTCTCATTTTCCAAACAGCTGGTTCCTTTAGTCTGAATGTGTGTTTGGTGCGTGATCATTATTCTTTAGAGTCATTGCGTGCCTATTGATTGGAACACGATCCGTGTATCCATCATTTCCTGGTCTTCTCTAAAGAAGAGGGACCAATGGAAACGTTGTCATGTTGCCGTTGTTCAGCATGGAAACATTCATTAGCTAACAATGACATTATTGTTCTATGAATATAAAGGGAGGTCAGGTACTCTTTAAAGCAGCTGCTAGTTATGGGTACTTGTTACTGAAGTACATTTCAAAGCCTCTTTACTTTCACTTGAGTAAAGAAGTTTAGTCAGTACTTCTACTTCTACCAGAGTATTTTTAAACACGAGTATCTGTACTTCTACTTGAATAAAGGAAGTGTGTACTTTTGCCGTCTCTGGGGTTTTGCTACAGCCGAGCCACACACAGCATCTCCACTTTAATATATACTCTATGAGGTGCAGTACCTCCACAGAGCAGGCAGATGGCGCTCAGCAGCCCGGTCTCGGCGTCGTCCATCTCCAGCGGCAGTAGCTGGTTGGCGAAGGTGAACACGAGGTCTGTGAGCGGGCCGAAGCCGGCGTTATGCATCTGAGTCCGGTTCAGAGTCAGCCCGTCGGAGAACGTCATGGTGTCTTTATCGGGGGTGTAGCGGGTGCAGATCCTCAGAATCTGAGGGAGGGGGGGCGAGAGGTTCAGAGTTTAGACTTAAAGGGAGAATATGAAGTTCTCTGCATCATTTCTATGGAGCGGGTCTTTAACCACACTGAAAGGAATCAGAGGTTTAGGATGTTATTCGGTCATTAACCAATCAATCAATCATTCAACACATCAACACATTAACAAATGAACCAATCAATCAATTCACCAATTCACACATCAATCAACCAATCACCCACCAACCATTCAACTAGTTTAATGTTTATCACTAAGACAATTCACCAATGAAATCCCCCGGGAAGATTTCTTTTTAAATATTGAAGTTGAAAGCATCAATCTGGTGCACTTTGAGAGCAACATGAAGAGATGGATACCTCTCTCAGCACCCAGATGAAACAGAACTGGAAACAAATGTTCTTTTTCTTTATGGATATTTTACTAATCACTCCCCTTTCAAACTGTATTCTTGTTTAACTGCCATATAGTATTTAATTCCTGTTTTTCATTTATTCTCTTATTGTTTGTATAACTATAATGATCATATGAAGGTGTGCCGCGGAAATAATCTTTTGAATAATTTGTGACCAAACCGTTCTAAACACTCAGAGAGTCCTTTATCTCACCTGAGCCCCTCCGTCTGAGAGGGGAGGACTCTCCTCCAGCCTGTTGTGGAAACAGCTCCTTATGTCCGTTAGTGCAGCTAGCTAACCAGATGCTAACATCACGGTCCCCGCTAGCACCTCTCTCTCTCTCTCTCTCTCTCTCTGCATCTGCTAACGGGGTGGTGGATGATAGGTTTACATCTAAAAACGTATTTTTCAAACATTATTATTTTTATTTTATTTTTCATTCTTTTGTTACTTTTTTGTTTAACGGTCTGCAATCTACCCGCACCATGCTCGATCGACTGGTTGGCGACCACTGATCTAGAGAATTGGAACGGCACTTATCATGGCTGCCACTGAGGGACTTCCGGGTCATTTCACTCCGTTAGGAAGGTTCCTAAGAGCAACGGACTATTGGACTGCAACCCTGGTCTGTCCTGGTCTGTCCTGGTCTGTCCGGGTCTGTCCGGGTCTGTCCGGGTCTGTCCGGTTTTGTCCTGGTCTGTCCTGGTCTGGTCTGTCCTGTCCTGTCCTGGTCTGGTCTGTCCGGGTCTGTCCTGGTCTGTCCTGGTCTGGGTCTGTCCAGGTCTGTCCAGGTCTGTCCTGGTCTGTCCTGATCTGTCCGGGTCTGTCCTGGTCTGTCCTGGTCTGGTCTGTCCGGGTCTGTCCTGGTCTGTCCGGGTCTGACCTGGTCTGTCCTGGTCTGTCCGGGTCTGTCCTGGTCTGTCCTGGTCTATCCGGGTCTGTCCTGGTCTTTCCTGGTCTTTCCTGGTCTGTCCTGGTCTATCCGGGTCTGTCCTGGTCTGTCCTGGTCTGGTCTGTCCGGTTCTGTCCTGGTCTGTCCTGGTCTGTCCGGGTCTGTCCGGGTCTGTCCTGGTCTGTCCTGGTCAGTCCGGGTCTGTCCTGGTCTGTTCTGGTCTGTCCTGGTCTGGTCTCTCCGGTTCTGTCCTGGTCTGTCCTGGTCTGTCCTGGTCTGTCCTGGTCTGTCCTGGTCTGTCCTGGTCTGTCCTTGCCTGGTCTGTCCTGGTCTGTCCTGGTCTGTGCTGGTCTGTCCTGGTCTGTCCTGGTCTGTCCTTGCCTGGTCTGTCCTTGCCTGGTCTGTCCTGGTCTGTCCGGGTCTGTCCTGGTCTGTCCTGGTCTGTCCTGGTCTGTCCGGGTCTGTCCTGGTCTGTCCTGGTCTGTCCTGGTCTGTCCTGGTCTCTCCTGGTCTGTCCTTGCCTGGTCTGTCCTGGTCTGTCCTGGTCTGTCCTGGTCTGTCCTGTTCTGTCCTGGTCTGTCCTGGTCTGGTCTGTCCTGGTCTGTCCTGGTCTGTCCTGGTCTGTCCTGGTCTGTCCTGGTCTGTCCTGTTCTGTCCTGTTCTGTCCTGGTCTGGTCTGTCCTGGTCTGTCCTGGTCTGTCCTGGTCTGTCCTGGTCTGTCCTGGTCTGTCCTGGTCTGGTCTGTCCTGGTCTGTCCTGGTCTGTCCTGGTCTGTCCTGGTCTGTCCTGGTCTGTCCTGGTCTGTCCTTGCCTGGTCTGTCCTGGTCTGTCCTGGTCTGTCCTGGTCTGGTCTCTCCGGTTCTGTCCTGGTCTGTCCGGGTCTGTCCTGGTCTGTCCTGGTCTGTCCTGGTCTGTCCTGGTCTGTCCTGGTCTGTCCTGGTCTGTCCTGGTCTGTCCTGGTCTGTCCTTGCCTGGTCTGTCCTGGTCTGTCCTGGTCTGTCCTGGTCTGTCCTGGTCTGTCCTGGTCTGGTCTGTCCTGGTCTGTCCTGGTCTATCAGGGTCTGTCCTGGTCTGTCCTGGTCTGTCCTGGTCTGTCCTGGTCTGTCCTGGTCTGTCCTGGTCTGTCCTGGTCTGGTCTGGTCTGGTCTGTCCTGGTCTGTCCTGGTCTGTCCTGGTCTGTCCTGGTCTGGTCTGGTCTGGTCTGTCCTGGTCTGTCCTGGTCTGTCCTGGTCTGTCCTGGTCTGGTCTGTCCTGGTCTGTCCTGTTATGTCCTGGTCTGTCCTGGTCTGGTCTGTCCTGGTCTGTCCTGGTCTGTCCTGGTCTGTCCTGTTCTGTCTGGTCTGTCCTGGTCTGTCCTGGTCTGTCCTGGTCTGTCCTGGTCTGGTCTCTCCGGTTCTGTCCTGGTCTGTCCGGGTCTGTCCTGGTCTGTCCTGGTCTGTCCTGGTCTGTCCGGGTCTATCCTGGTCTGTCCTGGTCTGTCCTGGTCTGTCCGGGTCTGTCCTGGTCTGTCCTGGTCTGTCCTGGTCTGTCCAGGTCTGTCCTGGTCTGTCCGGGTCTGTCCTGGTCTGTCCTGGTCTGTCCTGGTCTGTCCGGGTCTGTCCTGGTCTGTCCTGGTCTGTCCAGGTCTGTCCTGGTCTGTCCGGGTCTGTCCTGGTCTGTCCTGGTCTGTCCTGGTCTGTCCGGGTCTGTCCTGGTCTGTCCTGGTCTGTCCTGGTCTGTCCTGGTCTGTCCTGGTCTGTCCTGGTCTGTCCTGGTCTGTCCTGGTCTGTCCTGGTCTGTCCTGGTCTGTCCTGGTCTGTCCTGGTCTGTCCTGGTCTGTCCTGGTCTGTCCTGGTCTGTCCTGGGTCTGTCCTGGTCTGTCCTGGTCTGTCCTGGTCTGTCCTGGTCTGTCCTGGTCTGTCCTGGTCTGTCCTGGTCTGTCCTGGTCTGTCCTGGTCTGTCCTGGTCTGTCCTGGTGCCGTGTGCTGAACCTCAAAGTAAAGGCCTCTCTGAAACTAAAGCTGTGTCTGAGTGGAGCTGTTCAGCCTGGGGTCACTCAGTCAATACACACCAGGTGTTTTTACATGTACTAAGTACCCGTTCACTTTGCTACGCTCAGCCTTTATTAACCATGTGTTCACATTTATGTTACTTTCAGTCTTTTTATAAATATCTTTAATTTAATTTGAATGTTTTGCATTTATGGTTATTTTAGGCATCAATTGATTTACTGCTCATTGCTGCTTCTTTGATCCGTCTCACACGTCTTTACTTGGTAGACATGAGGTTGTGTTGTACGTGTGATGAGATATATGTACAGGAGTAAAAGTAGGATGTGTCCCTCTGCAGTATAAAGTGTCCTTACATGTAAATACAGGTAGAAGGAGTACTGCAGTACACCTGCAGACCACATGTTGTCTGCTTCTCCTTAGCGTATCTGGTAGATTATTGCTTCTATTGCGTTGAAGTAGTTGATTGTTTTGACTTGTTTTCTGGTGTGTGAGCTGAGCTGTGGGATCTGTTTCTTTGGCTGGACAGCGCTTTGGTGTGGAGCTTTGGAAGCTGCATCGTATTGTATGTTCTTCACAGTGTGTCCTCACCAGGATGTCCAGGCAGGCGGCCTTCAGCAGCGTGATCTGGTCAGCGATGGAGAGCGTGGTGAAGCCCGGCAGCTGCTTGGCAAACTCCACCGTCTTTATGATGCATTTAGTGGAGAGCTCGCTGAACTTATCCCACAGGGAAACATCCAGAGAGACGCGTCGCTCTGAGCTGTTGCTCTGCAGGAAGAGAGAGAGGAGAGGATGCATCAGAAGTCTGTGATACACACTTTAACAATACACATCACACGTCTCCTCTAATGTTCAGAGAGCTCTTTGTTGTTCTCACACTGCCTGTGCTGCAGCCCCTCTTTTCACCCTCTGTCTGAAAACAGAGCCCAGTCTGCTCTGATTGGTTAGCTGGCCGGCTCTCTTCTGATTGGTCAACCTCTTAGCGATGTGTGTGTGTGTGTGTGTGTGTACCGTGGTGTATTTCCCCAGCTGCTCCAGAGAGGGGAAGGTTCCCTGATGAGCTCGTCTCACTCCCTCGATCATCTGCTCTGTTTCTGCAGACAGAACGTAGACCTCAACCTCCAGGGGGCGCTTGTCCTCCTTCTTCTTCTTCATCCTGTCGTTACGCACCACTGAGGAAGAGGAGGAGGAGGAGGAGGAGGAGTTAGATTACAGCAGTGACATCTTACATACAGTTATCTTTTCAGTGATTTAAAAACGGTGTAATAATAAAGCCGTATCTCCAGTTTTCCACTGAACATCATCAGCTATAATCTGGTTCATCCTGAATATCTCCTGTAACCCTGCAGCTCTATGGTGTGATCTCCAAGCACATGCAAGAACACACACCTGTAGCAGGTGTTACAGTTACTGGTTATTGGTTAGTATACTGGTTATTATACTGGTTAGTATACTGGTTATTATACTGGTTAGTATACTGGTTTTATACTGGTTATTATACATGGAAGTTATACTGGTGGTTAATGTATGGATGTAATAACCAGGAGCAGCCACCAGGGGGAGACAGAGCTCCTCTCCTGCTCTTCTTTATTATTGCGTGACAACTAAAGCAATTTTAGACATTAACACACACACACACGCACACACACACACACACACACACACACCCTCGGACTCACACTCCTTGGACATGCCGACCTCCAGGCACTTGGTCAGTCTGCAGCTCTGGCAGCGGTTCCTCGTCACCTTGTTGATCACACACACCTTGTCTCGGTGACACGTGTACAGCATGTTCTTCTGGATGCTCCTCCGGAAGAAGCCCTGCAGATACAGAGGTTCAAAACAACCAATCAGAGACACTGATGTGGTGAAGAACATTTACTCAAGAGCTGTACTGAAGTACCACTTTGGGGTATGTGTACTCCACTACATTTATTTAGTTACGAGTTACTTCATTCAGATGATCAGATAATATATCCAAGCTGTGATGAACACATATATAATGCAGTGATTGAAATATAACATTTAGCATTTTTACACTGTAGTACTTCTACTTTTACTCAAGTACAAGACCTGAGAACTTCTACTTTTACTCAAGTACAAGACCTGAGTACTTCTACTTTTACTCAAGTACAAGACCTGAGTACTTCTACTTTTACTCAAGTACAAGATGTGAGTACTTGCACTTTGACTCAAGTACAAGGTCTGAGTACTTCTACTTTTACTCAAGTACAAGATCTGAGTACTTCTACTTTTACTCAAGTACAAGATCTGAGTACTTCTACTTTGACTCAAGTACAATATCTGAGTACTTCTACTTTGACTCAAGTACAAGATCTGAGTACTTCTACTTTGACTCAAGTACAAGATCTGAGTACTTCTACTTTTACTCAAGTACAAGATATGAGAACTTCTACTTGTACTCAAGTACAAGATCTGAGTACTTCTACTTTTACTCAAGTACAAGACCTGAGTACTTCTACTTTTACTCAAGTACAAGATCTGAGTACTTGCACTTTGACTCAAGTACAAGGTCTGAGTACTTCTACTTTTACTCAAGTACAAGACCTGAGAACTTCTACTTTTACTCAAGTACAAGATCTGAGTACTTCTACTTTTACTCAAGTACAAGATCTGAGTACTTCTACTTTTACTCAAGTACAAGATCTGAGTACTTCTACTTTTACTCAAGTACAAGATCTGAGTACTTCTACTTTTACTCAAGTACAATATCTGAGTACTTCTACTTTGACTCAAGTACAAGATCTGAGTACTTCTACTTTGACTCAAGTACAAGATCTGAGTACTTCTACTTTTACTCAAGTACAAGATATGAGAACTTCTACTTGTACTCAAGTACAAGATCTGAGTACTTCTACTTTTACTCAAGTACAAGACCTGAGTACTTCTACTTTTACTCAAGTACAATAACTGAGTACTTCTACTTTTACTCAAGTACAAGACCTGAGTACTTCTACTTTTACTCAAGTACAAGACCTGAGTACTTCTACTTTTACTCAAGTACAAGACCTGAGTACTTCTATTTTAACTCAAGTACAAGACCTGAGTACTTCTACTTTTACTCAAGTACAAGACCTGAGTACTTCTATTTTAACTCAAGTACAATACCTGAGTACTTCTACTTTAACTCAAGTACAAGACCTGAGTACTTCTACTTGTACTCAAGTACAATACCTGAGTACTTCTACTTGTACTCAAGTACAAGACCTGAGTTCTTCTACTTTTACTCAAGTACAAGACCTGAGTACTTCTACTTTAACTCAAGTACAAGGTCTGAGTACTTCTACTTTTACTCAAGTACAAGATCTGAGTACTTCTACTTTTACTCAAGTACAAGACCTGAGTACTTCTACTTTTACTAAGTACAAGATCTGAGTACTTCTACTTTACTCAAGTGCAATACCTGAGTACTTCTACTTTTACTCAAGTGCAAGATCTGAGTACTTCTACTTTTACTCAAGTACAAGATCTGACTACTTCTACTTTTACTCAAGTACAAGATCTGAGTACTTCTACTTTTACTCAAATACAAGATCTGAGTACTTCTACTTTTACTCAAGTACAAGATCTGTGTACTTCTACTTTTACTCAAGTACAAGATCTGAGTACTTCTACTTTTACTCAAGTACAAGATCTGAGTACTTATACTTTTACTCAAGTACAATATCTGAGTACTTCTACTTTTACTCAAGTACAAGATCTGTGTACTTCTACTTTTACTAAGTACAAGATCTGAGTACTTCTACTTTTACTCAAGTGCAAGATCTGAGTACTTCTACTTTTACTCAAGTACAAGATCTGAGTACTTCTACTTTTACTCAAGTACAAGATCTGAGTACTTGCACTTTGACTCAAGTACAAGGTCTGAGTACTTCTACTTTTACTCAAGTACAAGACCTGAGAACTTCTACTTTTACTCAAGTACAAGATCTGAGTACTTCTACTTTTACTCAAGTACAAGATCTGAGTACTTCTACTTTTACTCAAGTACAAGATCTGAGTACTTCTACTTTTACTCAAGTACAAGATCTGAGTACTTCTACTTTTACTCAAGTACAATATCTGAGTACTTCTACTTTGACTCAAGTACAAGATCTGAGTACTTCTACTTTGACTCAAGTACAAGATCTGAGTACTTCTACTTTTACTCAAGTACAAGATATGAGAACTTCTACTTGTACTCAAGTACAAGATCTGAGTACTTCTACTTTTACTCAAGTACAAGACCTGAGTACTTCTACTTTTACTCAAGTACAATAACTGAGTACTTCTACTTTTACTCAAGTACAAGACCTGAGTACTTCTACTTTTACTCAAGTACAAGACCTGAGTACTTCTACTTTTACTCAAGTACAAGACCTGAGTACTTCTATTTTAACTCAAGTACAAGACCTGAGTACTTCTACTTTTACTCAAGTACAAGACCTGAGTACTTCTATTTTAACTCAAGTACAATACCTGAGTACTTCTACTTTAACTCAAGTACAAGACCTGAGTACTTCTACTTGTACTCAAGTACAATACCTGAGTACTTCTACTTGTACTCAAGTACAAGACCTGAGTTCTTCTACTTTTACTCAAGTACAAGACCTGAGTACTTCTACTTTAACTCAAGTACAAGGTCTGAGTACTTCTACTTTTACTCAAGTACAAGATCTGAGTACTTCTACTTTTACTCAAGTACAAGACCTGAGTACTTCTACTTTTACTAAGTACAAGATCTGAGTACTTCTACTTTACTCAAGTGCAATACCTGAGTACTTCTACTTTTACTCAAGTGCAAGATCTGAGTACTTCTACTTTTACTCAAGTACAAGATCTGACTACTTCTACTTTTACTCAAGTACAAGATCTGAGTACTTCTACTTTTACTCAAATACAAGATCTGAGTACTTCTACTTTTACTCAAGTACAAGATCTGTGTACTTCTACTTTTACTCAAGTACAAGATCTGAGTACTTCTACTTTTACTCAAGTACAAGATCTGAGTACTTATACTTTTACTCAAGTACAATATCTGAGTACTTCTACTTTTACTCAAGTACAAGATCTGTGTACTTCTACTTTTACTAAGTACAAGATCTGAGTACTTCTACTTTTACTCAAGTGCAAGATCTGAGTACTTCTACTTTTACTCAAGTACAAGATCTGAGTACTTCTACTTTTACTCAAGTACAAGATCTGAGTACTTATACTTTTACTCAAGTACAAGATCTGAGTACTTATACTTTTACTCAAGTACAATATCTGAGTACTTATACTTTTACTCAAGTACAAGATCTGTGTACTTCTACTTTTACTAAGTACAAGATCTGAGTACTTCTACTTTTACTCAAGTACAAGATCTGAGTACTTCTACTTTTACTCAAGTACAAGATCTGAGTACTTCTATTTTTACTCAAGTACAATATCTGAGTACTTCTACTTTTACTCAAGTACAAGATCTGTGTACTTCTACTTTTACTAAGTACAAGATCTGAGTACTTCTACTTTTACTCAAGTGCAAGATCTGAGTACTTCTACTCTTACTCAAGTACAAGATCTTAGTACTTCTACTTTTACTCAAGTGCAACATCTGAGTACTTCTACTTTTACTAAGTACAATATCTGAGTACTTCTACTTTTACTCAAGTACAAGACCTGAGTACTACTACTTTTACTCAAGTACAAGATATGTGTACTTATACTTTTACTCAAGTACAAGATCTGAGTACTTCTACTTTTACTCAAGTGCAATATCTGAGTACTTCTACTTTTACTCAAGTACAAGATCTGAGTACTTCTACTTTTACTCAAGTACAAGATCTGAGTACTTCTACTTTTACTCAAGTACAAGATCTGTGTACTTCTACTTTTACTCAAGTACAAGATCTGTGTACTTCTACTTTTACTAAGTACAAGATCTGTGTACTTCTACTTTTACTCAAGTACAAGATCTGTGTACTTCTACTTTTACTAAGTACAAGATCTGAGTACTTCTACTTTTACTCAAGTACAAGATCTGAGTACTTCTACTTTTACTCAAGTGCAAGATCTGAGTACTTCTACTTTTACTAAGTACAAGATCTGTGTACTTCTACTTTTACTCAAGTACAAGATCTGAGTACTTCTACTTTTACTCAAGTGCAAGATCTGAGTACTTCTACTTTTACTCAAGTACTAGATCTGAGTACTTCTCCTTTTACTCAAGTACAAGATCTGAGTACTTCTACTTTTACTCAAGTACAAGATCTGAGTACTTCTACTTTTACTCAAGTACAAGACCTGAGTACTTCTACTTTTACTCAAGTGCAAGATCTGAGTACTTCTACTTTTACTCAAGATCTGAGTACTTATACTTTTACTAAGTACAAGATCTGAGTACTTCTACTCGTAGTCGGCGACGTCTGTCTAGGAGGGGCTCACAAGCCATCATAGTGAGCATGCTCAAGACTGCCATCTAGCTACCTGCAGCCCTGTGGCAGTCAAGTGCAGGTAAAGGAAAGATTTGGTCATGACACTATGCACCACGCTTTCCCAGCGACTTCTTCAGACAGTTTCACTCTCAACAATAGATGAGGAGAACCTGGGTCAATTCGTCTTTTGTCGCACTCCCAGCGACCACAAACTCGCCCCCCCTCGATAGACGACGTGAGGTTTCTCCACATCATGGACAGCGAGGTCCATCAAGACAACTCCAACAGCTGGGTTGCTCCCTTGCCCTTTAAGACAGTGGTTCTCAAACTGTTTTCAATCATGTTCCCCCGTTGGAATAGAAATGCAGCCAAGTCCCTGATCAGCGCAGAAACAATGGTTAG